CGCGGGAGGGGACAGTCACCCATGAGCTGTGGCACATCTGGAGGGGTGCACAGGTATTGCCTGGGTGCCTGTCTGTCTGTCTGTCTGAATCCATTGTGCCGTCCGCCCTGTCTATGGCTCTCTGTCTGGGTCGGTGGGCTTGCCCGCTCCAGATAAGTGGAGAGCGAGGGGGATGGCTGTGTGAGTTGCTTCCTTCGCTGTGGCATCTCCCTTCCCTGCTCCCAAATACTTGACGGCAGCAAGGGGCTAAAAGATGCGATGCCCTCACCCGTACGATACCCAATCCCCCACTGCCTGCCTGCCTGCCTGCCTGGGGGTGGATCCTACCTTGCAACACTTCTTGGAGCGGCCCTTCTTGCCCTTCATCGACACCTTGCCGCCCTTCTTGCCCTTCATCGACACCTTGCCGCCCTTCTTGGACGCGCCGCCCTTGGCCGCCCTCTTCTTCTTCTTGCTCGTGACCTTGAGGTCGCCATCGTCATCCCGATCCTCGTCGAAGTCGTCGTCGTCATCCTCCTCGCCCTGCAGGTAGTTGACGGCCTTCTTGGGCCGCCCGCTCGACGCGCCAGAGCCACACGACCCTGGTGCGGTCGCCGACCCCTTCGTGCCCTTCTTCTTCTCCTTCTTGACACGCTCGGCCTTGCTGGACGAAGCGGCCTCGTCGCCGCCGTTGCTGGGCTTGCTGTCGGGGAAAAGATGGCGCTCGAGCCGCCTTAGCAGCTCCGGCTTGGTGCCCGATCTGGGCAGGCCGTACTGCTTCAGCCGCTCCTTCATCTCGCCCACCTTGAGCTTGGCCAGGCCCGATTTGGAGATGCTGTGGTCCAGTTGGGGAGGGGCGCGGGGCGGCGGGAGGGTGATCGGGACGGTGGCTCGGCCGCCTTCCTCGCCGGCGAAGAGCAGGTCATAGAGGCGGTCACGCAGCTGCTCCTTGCTGCCGGTGGTGTCGGCATGGAGCAGCGAGAGGTACTTCTTGAGCTTGCCCGCACCGGCCTTGGCGACGGCCTTGCGCTCGACGACCATGACGGCCGGGCGGCCCTGCTCAAGGGACGCCGCCAGGTCGGCCAGCAGGCCCTCGCCGTCACCCCACACCTCATCGTCCTCGTCTGCTCTGGCGGCATCGGTGTCGCCGAGGAGCAGTGCGGTGGCTCGGTCAACATGACCCTTGGTCTCCTGACACGTACGCACACACAGAGAGTGCATGAGCAGAGAGTCAAGACAGACACGGGGGAGGGAGGGGAGGTTTGTCGTGCACCATCCCGCCAAGCCGCCCACCTGGAGCGCTATTTTGGCGGTGTCCTCTGCGAATCCCATACTGAGCAGCTGAGACAGGGCAGAGGGGTACGCGAAGCGGCCGCTGCTGGATGAGGCGCCGTTGCCCCTGCTGCCCCTGCCAGCGTGGGCCTCGTCAACAATGATGCAGTCGTCGGCCGATGACGACGCGGCAGCAGCTGCAGCTGCAGCAGCCGAAGAAGACGACGGCTGCAGCCAAGACAAAGACAGACGGGCAGGCGGACATATGTGTGATGATGATGTAGACAAACCACACCCCCACGAGTGTGTCCACTCACCTCCGCGCCGTCCCTGTCTACGCCATTCATCTCGTCGTTCTCCCCCTGCCCCTCCCCGTCAGCCCCCTCGGCATCCCCATCGCCCTCTACCCGAGCCTTCTTGCCACGCACCGAACCACCACCGCCACTAGCACCCACACCACCAGCACCGCCACTCGTCGCACCACGCTTGCGAGCCGCCCCAGCCCCGTTCTGCTCGCCAGCGTCGCCATTGGCCTCTGCCGCCGACTTGGCGGGCACTCCGGCGGGCTGTGCGATGCCCCCGTCCCCACCGCTGTGGTGGTTGTCGTGGTTCTTGCTGGACTGTTCGTTGCTGTGGGGTACGTCCTGCATCTGGACGTCACCGTCCGGGTCGATGGGCGTGCCGTCGGCCGTCTTGGAGGGGCCGCCACGACGACCGAAGGCGCCGCGAGGAGCGCCCCAACCCAGCAGCATCTGACATTCAAGTCAAGCAGCCAACACCCTCGGAGGACAGGTTGAAGCTTAGGTGAAGCGGTGTCTGTGTCTGTGTCTGTGTGTATGTGTGAGGCACTCACGTCGTCTTGTCTGTTGGCCTTCTGCATGAGCTCTCTGTAGACGTTGCTGGGCGTGGGCACGGCGGTGGACTTCTTCTTGGGCTCCGCCTTGGCCTTCCGCCTCGGAGCCTTCTTCTTGGGCTCGCCCACCTCCATCTCCACACCATCGCCCTCGCCCTCGCCCTCGCCGTCGCCCTCATCGCCCTTGGTGATGTCCAGAGTGCGCATGGCCTTCTTGGCTGCAACACATTCACTCACACAGCGCAAGGCCCAGAGGGATGTGGGTAGTGGTGGTGGTGTGGGTGGGTGGGTGTGGGGCGGGGGAATAAGTCAGGGTGCGTACCAGCGGCCTTCTTGGCCTTTTCCTGGAGTTTCTGTTTCTGTGTGCGCTCCGCCTCGGGGCCGCAGAAGTACCTCTGGTGGCTGATCAGCTTGTCGGGGAGGTAGAGCTTGCCGCAGTACTGACCAACCAACCAGCAAGGCACAAGCAGTGGTTGGTTGAGTGTTCAGAGGTGCCTGTGGTATGTGTGCCCGTGGACGTGTGTGTCTGCATCTGTTCGCACCTGGCACTCGACCTTGTGTTTGTTCATGATCTTCCGATAGTCGTACTCGACTGCACACAACACCAACACAACACCAACACAACACCAACACAACACCAACACAAGACATGCATGTTGATGATGTGTTGATAATCTGCCATCTGTCTGTCTGTCTGTCTGTCTCGCTGGCTGGCTGGCTGGCTGGCTGGCTCAGCCACTGACTGACCGGTCTGGTAGGTGGTGATGACCACGTCCACCTTCTGCAATTCATCGAAGAGGCACTCACGCTGCCTGCACACTCACACGGACGGACGGAGGACACAAACCATGAGCGATCGACCAATGTGTGTGTGTGTGTGTGTTTGGTGCTCACTGTCCGTGGTAGATGAGCACGTTGAGCGACTCGGCCTTGGTGAACCGCTCGATCTCATTCTTCCACTGACACACACACACAGACAGACAGACAGACAGACAGACACAGATGCATACCATACAGACCAACCACAGCCAAAGATGAAGAGATGCCCCTGGCTGCCCACCGGTCCGTCCACCCACCCACACCCACACACACAGACAAAGACGTGTGTACCTGCAGCACGGCGGCCAGTGGTGACACGACAAGTGTGGCGCCCTGCGGTTTGTCGATAGTGAGGTCCTTCTCGAGCTTGTTCTTGAGCAGCAGTGCGACGGCCTGGATGGTCTTACCCATACCTACATTACATCCAGCCATGGGTGGCACATCCACCACACACACAAAGGAGTGACAGTGCTCTGCAGAAATGCGGCTTCCCCCACCCATCTCGTCGGCTAGGATCCCTCCTCTGCAGTCCGACTCTTCCTGATGGCACATCCAGGCCAGCCCCTCCTGCACACACAACACACACCCAGACGTATGCATCCCTCCCCACACGAGTGTGTCGGGCATGTGTCAGTCAGTCAGTCGTGGATCCTCTAATCCACACCTCTTGGAAGGGCAGCAGTGGCAGCAGCAGCTCCGGCGGCGCCTTGTAGCGCTCGACCAGCTTCCGCTTCACCAACTCGTCCAAACGCTTCGCCTGACAAAGTGATATGACGACACAACAACACCCACACACCCACATGCCATCTGAATGGGTGTGCGCCCGTCCGTCCGTCAGCCACCCACCGCCTCAGCCGTGTCGAGTTCCTCCTCCTCGGTGTGGGTCGAGAGCTCCGCCGTGGCCTTGGCTCGCTGCTCGTCGTCCAGGTCGGCCCACCCGTGGATGATGTTGGGCAGCTGCAGCTCCTCCACAGTGGTGTCCGGCGCCCAGCCGGTGGACCGCACGATCTTGCCGCTGCACTTGACGTGCAGCCAGCCGGCGATGAGACCCCAGTCGCCCCGCTGGTCCTGTCACACACACACACACACACATATCCAGTATACAGGTGAGTTGGGTGTGCAGGGGTGGGTGTGTTGGGGAGGGGAGAGGCGCCTGCCTACCTTGATGGGGAAACCGATGCGGATCTCGCCCTTGCCGATCACACCACCGCAAACACGACACTTGGATTGGCCTGCGGGATGCCATCACACGCACACGCACGCACACCTGTGAGGCAATGTGCCATTTTGACCGGCTGGCTCCTCTCTGAACGTTCTGTCACCTGTTGGTGCCTTGCCGCATATTATCGTCACGGAAACCAGCCTGCCCCTGGTGGCCTTGTCTAGCTTGCTGATGCTGACAGACAGACAGACAGAAGGTCACAGACCACACACCAAGCGCGCGTGTTTGCGTCCATCACTCATTCTCGTGCTGTGGTTGAGTGGAGTGGTGGCTCACAACTTGTCAGGGATGAAGAGTTTCTTCTCAGGATCATACTGGCAGTCCTGCACACCCATACACACAGACAAGCCAGCAGCGGAGGTTCACACGAGCATCATCACTCTGGTGTTTCGTCGCGCCTACAAAACTCATCATGCTCACCTCCACGACGCTGAGGCGCTTCGAGGACTTCTTGGCGAGCAGCGATTCTATCTCGTCAGGGATGACGGTCGCCATCGCGAGACTTCTTCTGTCGCGACGCGTCCGACTGACCTTCGTCAAAAGGCAGCTAGCTAGCTATCCAGCATCAGTCATGACCATGATACAGCGGCACTGCCGCCTCTACACCTGCGTCAATTTTGGAATCCTGCGATCCTTTCTGTAAATGCTGACTGGGTTGCAGTCTGATGCCTGGCAGCCCTATGCCCCATGTTTGCAAAGGCTGCCTCTGCCTCGTTGACAACGCATACTAGACGATGAGTGGAGGGGGGTGAGAGATGACCATTTATCATGGCCGACATGGCATTGCTGAATGCGTCCCCCTGGTGGTACACGAGAGAATGACGGCTAAAAGATGTGCTGAGGCACAGACAGTGCTCGTCAGACACAATCGTCAGAAACAATGAGGGATGGAGCATGGCGACAGAGGGGGGGGAAGACGACAATGAAAGACACTGGCCTTCGAACCAAGCAAGCATTAGCAGAGGCAGACAAACAGAACACACCCATGCAAACCAAAAGACCAATGCTCCATCCATATCTACCGCAAGATGCTCATGCGAAATAGACAGACCCACACGCCTCTCGGCCCTCCCCCCGTCCACAGAAGGAAGGCCTCTCATCCTCCACACCTTCACTCACACCTTCTTCTTGAGCCTCTTGCGCGCTGCCTCCTTCTGTCGGCTGATGGCCTGAGTCTCGGGGATCCAGAACACATCAGGTGTACGCCTGTCATCACATGACAGAAACAGACAGAGAGTGCTCGCAGGCAGGCAGGCGGGCAGGGGGCGGGTATACGGTTTTCCATCCATTCCATCGGCACCTTTTGACATCCCGATGGGGGAACCGGACGAAGCTCAGGTTCATGAAGCACTGCAGCTTGCGCAGCTCGGCCGCGGACATTTCCCTGTCCATGAGCTGCTGCCGATACATGTGGTGGAACTGCAGGGCCTCGGGCAGCGGCTCGTCCTCAGACGCCGTGGCCTCGTCGTAAAGATCCTCGGGCAGCTGCTGCACCGCCTCCCACATACGCTCACGAGCTGCAGCCTCGTGACCCTCATACAGCTCGCTCTCAAGCTGCACGCACAGAAACGATCGACATCCAGACATCAATCACATCAAGCACTTAGTGCATATCCTGGCGAACGAGCGAATTGTGGCTCACGGGCAGTGCAGTGCGTCCCCACCTGTCTGTGTCGCTCATGGGCTTCGAACCTCCTCTGGAAGTGCGCCCGCTGCTCGTCTGTGTCGGTGGGGTCGTGAGGCGAGAAGATGACGTCGAGCAGCGCCCGCAGTCGGTCCTTGTTGCCGAGGAACTGGATAGTGTCCTTGACGTGCTCCTGCGGCACGTAGGGGAGCAGACGGATCTCCACGCTGTGCTCCACCTTCTTCTTGGGCTCTGCCTTTTGCTTGTCCTTCTTCTTCCGCTCCGGAACACCCGACGCCCTCGCAGACACTCGCATCTGCCGCAAGACTGTCTGCGACACAATCACAATGGGGCTGTTTCGCTGCATGGCCGATCTGGGGAGGCAGCTTGCGAGCTTAGACAAGGAAGACGATCCATCGTATATAAGAGGTTTCGAGAGGCCACCGCAGCCCTTCTCTGAGACAGCTATGTATTGCGGATGAGAGATCTTGAAAGATGGAGCCCGATGGCTACCGATGGCCCATGTTTGCAAAGGCTGCCTCTGCCTTGTTGAATGATAACGCATAGACGATGAGTGGAGGGGTGAGAGATGACCATCATGGACACTCTATGTCCCTCTTTGCCCTTCTTCTTGCAGCAGCAAGAACCCCTCTTGGCCGGCGAGGAAGGACAACAGGTGGGCATCCATCCATCTGCAGTTAGCATCTGCCCGTGTGTTGCGCTTGGTGCATTCATTCAGCCTGCCGATGAGTCCGCGAGTCCGCCACGGAAGGGTTTCTGGGAGGGGCTGCAGCCCGCTGAGGAGCTCGACGAGTGGCCACCCGCAACAGTCGGCACCGCCAGGGCGACAAAACTCCTCATCCTACTCATTGTCGTGTAAGCGGCAAGCCACAATCGACCAACAGCCATATGTATGATGCTGTCTGTATGCCCGGGGGTGTGTGCAGCGGTTCCGTTCTCGGGATTGTCATAACATTTTTCATGGTGAGTGAGTCTGACACACTTGGGGGGCGGAGGGGAAGTGGCAGGCAGCAGCGGGTCACTCACTGACCAAGTGTGTGTCCATCCATTTTGAAGGGCATTCTCCGGGTTGACGTTCAATATCGCTACCACAGCTCTCTCCCCGCACCATCTGTCGTCGTATGCCCGTAAGTATGCCCGTGAGTAAGCGCCAGGTGCACGTGGTTTTATCGCTGGCAGGGACTATGGCAGCAAGTTTGTGTCTTTTCAACCGGCGGCCAAAGGTGGGTGGGAAGGAACACACGGACGAGGAGTGAGGAGGGAGGAGGGAGGAGGGAGCAGGGGAGGGGTACGCGTGTCTGTCGTCCTTTCTTCAGCTGACGTGGTCGTCTTCCCTGGAGGGAAATCTCAGGGCACCATAGCAACATACTCTGTATACGGGACACACACACACACACACACACACACACAGAAGGAGCAGAGAAAGGAATACCATCCATCCACGGTGCCTGTGCGTCTGTTGCTTCCTTCAGGACTTGTGCATCCAGGACTCTGGGTGCCACTGCGTGTACCTCTCCCACGCCCACATCACAGACAGCCCCGCCGGCCCCGAGATGATCCGCCTCAACTTCACCGCCACATACGCACAGCCACAGCCGGCAGGCTCTTTCCTCTTCGGCTTCACTCGGGGGCCGGCCGACCTGACGAGGGTGCAGAAGAACCCCACCTCTGGTGGACCGGCCTCGGGAATGGAGAACATCCTGCCGCGGGGCTACAAAATGGAGGTGCCACATACATTCTACTTCGGGAGAATGGGTTTTAGGAACATTGGTACGGAGGGACGGAGTGGGTGGGATGGGATCGTGTGGGATGGTGTGGTGTGCTGCGATGTGGTGTGGTGGCTGCCGTCTCTCTCTCTCTCTCTCTCTCTCTCCCTCTGCGTGTGTGTGTGTGTGTGTTGTGTGTGTGCAGGTTATATTGAGTTGCGTGAGGTGCAGAAGAACGTGGAGATGATCCAACGAGGCGCCACCAACCTCGATTTCGCGTACACACACTGCACACACACACACTGAGTGAGGCGCTTTATCCTCTCTCCTCATACCCGCGTGATGTGGCCGTCTGTCTGTCTGTCAGTCTCTCCCACACCTATGACTTCACCCCTGCCGGTGTGCCGTCGGCCATCGACCAATCCGGCACACCAAATGCCACCACTAGTGGACCAACGGTAAGGCAGGGCAGGGCAGGCACACACACGCAGAGGGAGACCGCCGATGGGATGATGTGTGTGTGTGTTTGTGTGTGTGTGTCGTCTGTCTGTTTGTGTGCTGTGGTGTGTCAGGTTCTGTCCTTCGGCTTCAGGGACTTCTACATCCCGCTGACACAAGCCTATGAGGGCATGTGGAGCCCTTTCGCCCTCGTCTCTATGGCGGTAGGGATGGATGGATGGATGATGGATGTGTCTCTGAGTGGCGTGTGTGTGTGTGTGTGTGTGTGCCGTCTGTGCCAGATATTGGTCACGACGGCCTTCAACAACTTGAACCTTTATTCCATCGTCTTCCCGCCCAAGGTCAACCCGATCTCAGTGCAGCGGGAGCCAAACCCGGCGCTGCAGTCCTTGTGCGCCTGCTTCTCGTGCTGCAGAAGACGACCAAAGGTGAGTGAGGGCCCTGAGGGGGAAAGAAAGGCCTCTGACGGGCTCTTTGACTGACCTTCCGCTGTGTGTGGTGCGTGTGTGTCTCACTCAGAGTGAGCGGAGGCTGTCCGGTGATGATGGTGGTGTGGACCAGCTAGTGTGACGGGTAGCTAGCTGTCTGTTGCCATGTGGTCGATGGACGGACGGTACATAGCTAAGCTGATGGACAGCCTGACGTGTGTGTGTACCCATGATGGTGTGAAGGGATTTTCTCGTCGCCCGGTGGATGGCAGGGCAGAGAGTGCAGTGCATCACACAGCACAGCGCCTGTGTGTCTGACGCACCGATCATACATACACGTTGATTGCGACCATATCGATTTAGTTAAACGGTGACAGTCGAGTGTCCCCGTCCAGTCCGCTCCGGTCCACACACATTCGTCCATCCATCCATCCATCCACACACACGCACGCGCATCGAGCCGTCCAGCCATCCACACACCCCTCCTATGGTAAGACGGATGATGCAAAAATTGGTAAGGCACGTCACGTCGTCTGTCTGGTCAGTGAGTGAGTGAATGGAGCGGCCTTACACACACACACACTCACTGTCTGTCTATCTCTGTCTGTCTGTCTGGGGGGTGGGGTGGGGAGGGGAGGGTAAGGGGATTAGTGCGGTAAGTGGATAAAATACAAGTTGGTGGGGCAGTCTGGGTGCTAGAGGCTATGGGTGCGGGTGGGTAGTGCGCTAGATGGGTACACAACACACGTCAGCTCACCATATGCAGTCAACCGATGCAACCAGACACTCAGCCATCCATCCAGGCAGGCACACGCGGATGCTTTTTGAAAACACGACTTTGAAAACTTTTCATCCAGTCGGCTTCCCCCCCCCCCCCCCCCCCCCCCCCCC